CTTATGGTCATCCCACTTCCTCTCAGCCAGGGGGTTCCCTGTGGTGGGGCCTGGTCTGAGGAGTCATGAACATGACCAGTAAGAGGTCTTTTCTCCCCCGCCTCCTTTCTCCCTTTGTCTGTCTGGGTCTCTGTCTCTGTTGTACTTCCCTGAAGAGGTGTTCCTGCCCCAGGAAGTGGGCGGGTCAGTTATCCAACTTTGGGGAGCCACTGGGCACAGGGGGCACATGATTTCCTGTACCTGTGGACTGTCTAGGTCCCAGAAGAACTTGGTGGCAGGTTGTGAGCTAAGGGATGCCCCAGGCTCAGGGTGACCTTGCTGACCTCCCAGTTGGTCCTTGTTCACTCTGGGGTTTATGTAACACTGCCTTTCCTAATCACCCTCAAAGTCACCCTGTGACATAAGCAAATGTACGCTTTTGTCTGCCCCAAAGTGTTCCAGACACCTGCTATGGGTCAGGGTCATCTTACTGAATGACACTGGACACTGACTACCCTAAGAGGTAGCCTTTGCTAGGAGATTTTAAAATTTTCAGACGCAATTCATATATCATCAAATTTATGTAATTCAGTGTTTTTTAGTAGATTTAAGGTTGTGTAATCATCACCACTATCTAATTCTAGAATATTTTTTTTTTTTTACCACTTTCTCCAAAAAACCACATGTCCTGTAGCTGTCATTTCCCATCCCTGGAGTCCCCACTCCCTAATCTACTTTTTGTCTCTGGATTTGCCTGTTCAGGACATTATGTATAAATGGCACCTTACAATATGTGGCCTTTTCTGTCTGACTTCTTTCATTTAGTAATGTATTTTCAAGGTTTATCTGTGTTACAGTAAGGTTAGTGTTTCATTTCAGTTTGTGAACATCCCATTATATCATTGAGCAGGCCACATTGTGTTTATCCATTTTCTATTGACAGGTATTTGGGTTGTTTGTGCTATTTGGTGATTGAAAATAATTGCTTCTGCCAATTATTTTGTGTGTGGATATATGTTTTCTGTTTTCATTATTTATTTTAGATGTATGTTTTCAGTTTTCTTGGGTACAGATCTAAGTGGAATTGTTCCATCATATGATCTCTCTGTATTTAACCATTTGAGGAAATGCCAAACTTACATTCTCACCAGTAGTGTACAAGGCTTCCAATTTCTCCCTATTCTTGCCAACACTTGTTATTGTCTGTCTTTGATTACGACCACCCTAGTGGGAGTGATATGATCTCTCAATATGGTTTGGATTTGTATTTTCCTGATGGCTAATGATTGAGCATCTTTCTTGTGCTTCTTGGCCATTTGAATATTATTTTTTGTTTGTTTGTTTATTTTTGGTACTGGGATTTGAACCTGAAGTACTTAACCTCTGAGCCACATCCCTAGCCCTTTTTTATTTTTTATTTTGAGACAGGGTCTCTTTTTCTTTTGAGACAAGGCTCTATGTTGCTTAGGGCCTTGGTAAATTGATGAGGTTGGCCTCAAATTTGTAATCTTCCTGTAGCAGCTTCCCAACTTGCTGGGATTACAGGCATGTGCCACCATGCCCAGTCTGAGTATCCTTGTTTTGAGAAATGTTTATTCAACTCTCCCCCACCCCTTTTTTTTTTTGCAGCACCCAGGGGTGCTGTGCCACTGAGCCACATCCTCAGTTTATTTTATTTTGAGATAGATGTCAGTTAAGTTGCCCAGACTGGCCTCGAACTTGTGATCCTTTTGCCTCAGCCTCCCTGTAGCAGGAACTACAGGTGTGCATTACTGGGCCCAGCTTTCTTTCCTTACTATTATATTATTACTATTATTATTATTATTATTATTATTATTATTGGGATATTATTGGGATTGAAGCCAGGAGTATTCTACCACTGAGTTACCTCCTCAGTCCTTTTTTTTTTTTTTTTTGAAATAGGGCTTCACTAAGTTGCTGAGGCTAGCCTTGAACTTGCCTTCCTCCTACCTCAGCCTGATGAGTCTCTGGGATTTCAGGCATGTGCCATTGCACCTGGCTCCTTTGCTCATTTTTAAATTGGATTGTTTTATGTCACTATGTTTATTAAGTGGAAACTGAAGCTGAAAAAGAGAACATGACTGGACCAGGAACACTGGGCTCTGGAGCAGATTGAGGCTGGAACTTGAGTTGTTCTCCACCTCTGATTTGGCAGGTGGGGGGGGACACCTTCTTTCTACCCAGTGGAGCACCCCACCTCCCATCCCCAGTTTTGATCTGCTTCCCCCAGGCCTTGGCAGGTCCGATTCTTGCATTTGAAGGGGCAGGGCCCCCACAGCCTGAGGGTGAGCCGGAAAGGCTGGGAAACAGCCATTCTGAGGAACCAAGCCTGTCCTCTCTTCCTCTCCAAATCACGCGGACCTGCCTGACGTGGCCCAGGAAGAGGGGACAGCCCTGGGCCCTGTGGTTGGGGATCCTATTTATACTGGCTGGGCCATGTTGCAAGCTTTTCCTGCTGGCGAGAGGGACGTCACTGGGCACTGACCTCACCAGAAACGCTGACGCACCTTCCCTCATGCTTCACTTGAATGGTCCTGAGGCCAGGCTTCCCTACCTCCTGGCCATTCCCTGTCCTCCTATATCACCTAGCGCTGGACCCTCAGCCAGTGTCCCCACTCCCTGAAGCCTTCCCACAGTGCCTCCTCTTGCAAGATGTTACGGGCTGAATCATTGCTTGCCTGAATTCATGTGTCTAAAATCCTCATTCACATGATCTCAGAATGTGACTATATTTAGACATAGAGCCTTTGAAGAGGTAATTGAGGTAAAATGAGGCCATTGGTGGGCTCTACACTGATATGACTGGTGTTCTTATAAAAGAGGAGATTAGGACACAAATAACACAGACCAATAGGTGACCAGGTAAGAAGACAAGAAGACAGAGCCAGGTACGGTGGCACACACGTGTAATCCCAGCAATTTGGGAGGCCGAGGCAGGAGGATTGTAAGTTCGAGGTCAGCCTCAGCAATTTAGACCCTGTCTCAAAAAAGTAAAAAGGGCTGGGGATGTGGACCAGTGTTAAATCACCTCTGAGTTCAATCCCAATACAGAAAAAAAAAAGAGAGAGAGAGAGACGATGACCATCTACAAGCCAAGGAGAGAGACCCAAGAAGGAACAACCTACTGACACCTTGAGTTCAGATTTCTAGCCTCCAGAGCTGAGCTGTGAGCTAATAAATTTCTGTTGTCTAAGCCACCTTGCCTGTAACAGAGTTGGCTCTCTCTATAGGGAGGTTCCACATCATTAGATTCAACCACCTGCAGATGGCAATGTGGTTAGGCCTCTGATGGTTTTGTCTGTGCTGAACATGTATATTTTTCTTCCTGTCATTATTCCCTGAATAATATAGTCTAAGAACTGTTTACTAAGCATTTGCTTTGTGGTATTAAAAGTCATCTAGAGATGACTTAAAGTATAGGGGAGCCACACATGGTGGCTGCACACTTCCAGTTCCAGTGAGTCGGGAGGCTGAGGCAGAAGGATTGCAAGTTCGGGGCCAGCCTTAGCAACTTATTGAGGCTCTCAGCAATGTAGCAAGATCCTATATCGAGATTGAAAAAAATAAAATAGAAAGGACTGAGGATATAGCTGGACTGGCAGAGTGCTCCTGGGTTCAATCCCCAGTGCCCCCAACACACACACCCACAAAAATACATGGGAAGATGTGTCTTAAATTCTCTGCAGATACTATACCATATAAGGGACTTGAACAAACTCAGATGTGACAGAACCAGTCCCTGTGGAAGCCCTGGGATGTCTGTATTTCTATTATGGAAGCCCCAGCAAACTAATATATAAGCTGTCCTTGCCTTTGGTGACCTTGGTCCCTGTGGCCTGTGGCCTGGGCACAACACTTTGTCTAGCCCCATGCTAAGAATGTTGTCCTTTGAATAGGCCTGGTTTGAATGCCCTCTTAACTGTTTGCAGGGTGGCCTTGGGCATCCTCAGAAGTCTTGGAACTGGTGAGGGAACATGGCCTCCTTGAACTGTGGGCAGAATAGAATAAAGCAGAGGTGTGACTCCCCAGGTGAGGCGGGCGATCAGCAGTTGCTGAGAGGGGCATGAAGCTCTGTGGCCCCATCTGGCTCTCCTGCCCTGATTAGGCCCCTGGACTTCTGGGAGCTTCTGTCTCCTCATCAAAGCGAGCTAGGGAATCTTCCTCTAGAGACTGCGGCAAGATGAGATCAGGGATGTGAAATGGAGAAGGATCCTGACTTGGCCAGGGCCCCAGGCATTGTGGGGGTGGATGAGAAGGGGAATTTAGTGGAAGCGGAATTCTCAGGATGAGAATCCAGAACTGGCCCCTGGGGGTGGTGACGGTGGGGTATTGGGCCTTGTGCAGGGAGCGGATGGGGGTGTAGAGCAGCCTCTTGGGCATGGAGACTGCCTGATTTTGCCTACTGTTGAATCCTCAGCGCCTGGGGGTGGCTGGCACAGAGCAGGGCCAAGTCTGTTGAATACAGGGGTGGCAGGGGCCTGTCTACAGAGGTGGAGAACAGGCGGAGCGGCCTCCATCTGGCGTCACTGGCTTTCCGTGAAGGGCTCTTCAGGAGGGATGCACCCGCTGCCTGCAGCCGAGACCTCTCTGCCAGGCCCCAGGGGCCCACCCTGGCTCTTCAGCCTTATGAGATCTGCCTCTCAACTGACCCCTTTCCAGGCCTGTTACTTGTGTGGGGCTGCCAGGCATGACCTGCAGGCCCCTGGCTAATCCCTGAACCACCTTGTCCACCCTTTCCCTGGACCTCAGTTTACCCCACAGTAAAGTAGCAGGTTGACTAGAGGGGCATTGTCTCTAGGGCGCCTTTCTTGTCATGTTCAGATGCCTTCAAGAAGAAGAGGACCAACCCATGATCGCTATCTTTCAGAGAAAGTGAAACCTGGTCTCCAACTGTCACCACGGCAGCTCCACTACCCCTCCCTGGCTTCCCCTCTGAGCTCACAGCTTCCCCATCTCCTCCACTCCCCCATCCTGCCCACCACCCCCCCCCAATAGCTAGTACTTGGAATTAGAGTTTCGTCTTTTCTTTTTCCTTCAAAAGATTTTGCCTTTTATGTCCATGATGGCAGCAGCCCTGTGAGGTGGGCTGGGAAATTTGCTTTTGACTTCCTCAGGTTGGGTTTCTGGGACCCAGACAGGTTAAGTGACTTATGTCAGGCTACATAGCAGCTCAGAAAGCTTGAAACCTGATGTTCTTTTTCTCTTGCTCCAAGTGTCCAGTTTCCCCTAAAGGACCCTGTCTGCAGAGCAGGATCTGCCTGTGGGTGGGAGACCTAGGATGTGAGGCTGGTAGCAGGTGCCTGCTGAGGGATTGAAGACAGGGAGTGCTGGGCTGGGGGATGCTAGTCCTGGGGCTGGAACCACAATCTCGGGGCTGCCAGCCTGGGTCTGGCTCTGTGCCCAGAGCCCAGTGGTTTCCGCTCACAGATGTCCCAACAGCCCCAGCGAGAGGGCGGGAAGGGCACTCAACAGGGAAGATGTCTTGCTCCCCTCAGCCCCAGACCTCAGTGTCCTGCAGAGCTGGTGCCTCCTGGGAAGAGGGACCAGGGCCTCTGCAGGTCTGGCTTGCAGCTTCTCCCTCTTACCCTGGGCCCAGGCTCCTGAAGATGGCAGGAACCCTCTTGCTTCCCACTCTCCCCAAGAAGGCCGAGGCTGTAGTTTGCATCATCCTTGGGCGTGGGGCTGACCTCGAAGAACGAATTCGAAGAAAACAGGAGGAGGAGCGGGCATGCCACAGCACCCATCGCCCATTGGCCGCTGTGGAAACTTTGGTTTTTGGGGTCATGTTCCCAGAAGGCCTGCCCTCCCCCCACCCCCTCCCCACCCACCTCACGAGGTGTTGGCCAATCACCCCGGCGGGCATAAAGTGGCTGGCAGCCCGCAGGGCTCCCAGCAGGGAGGTGTTACCCCCGGTAGCCGCGGGCCACAGCACGGGCACCCAGCATGCGGGCACAACTCACAAGGAGGACGCTGCTCAGTAAGTACTTCCTTCCTCTGTACCAGCACCTGCTTGCTGTGCCCAGGGTGCTGGCGGGTAGCGGGGCACCCTCTGCCCTCTGAGAGCTGGGGTGGGCAGTCACCAGGCAGAAGGATGCTGAGGAGAGGAAAGAGCCAAGAGGTCAGGTAAAGGAAGGGGTCCACTGAGAACCCAGGATTCCCACAGGTGGAGGGGGTACCCCTGGAGGGTTTCTAGGGGAAGGTGAAATAGAGAACTCTGGGAACAAGGCCTGAGGGAAGAGGATGGATTGGGAAGAGACCAGGGAACCAGAAGGAAAGAGGAAGATGTTCCGGGAAGGGAAGGAAGTTACTAGCCAGGCAGAGAAGTGGGGCAATATGTGTTCCGATGGGGCCTCCTTCTTGCCCTGCTTTGATTCTCCAGGTCTGGGATGAATTCTCAGGTCAGCCAGTCCCGGGGGCCTCGGAGCCCAGACAATCACACAGCACACAAGCCACACCCACAGGACAGCAGGCACAGGGAGTCCTGTGACATCACCAGAGCCTTATCCAGGAAGCCTCACCTGCAAGCAGGGCTCCAGTGAAGAGGGCAGGTGCTCCTTGAGCCTCACATGGCCCCTGCCACACACCCTGCAGACACCTAGTCTCATGTGCGTACCGTCATCCGCACACCACGGACCTTCTGTCTGGCTGTGGATACCTGGGGAGCTGGCGAGGGCACTCTGTGGATGGCACACTCAGGGGCCCAGCCTCTCAGGCCTCCCCAGCAGCCAGGCCTCCCCAAGGGACTGAACAGTTTGTAGGAAGGGAAGGATGGTGTCACTGTCTTCCGGGCCATTGCGCCATAGGCCCCTTCCGACCACGTGGCTGCTGGTGCTGTGGGGGTGGGGGCAACGAGCCATAACTGCACCAGCCCCTTGCAGCCTTCTGACAGGCTTGCAGCATCCCTGGTGGGCCAGGCTGAAGTGGCCATTTATAGAGAGAGGAGGAAGATATGGGAGGTTGGGGAAAGCTCTGGCCTTGTGTGTCCTGGACAAGCCCATCTCTTGTGACTTGGTTTACCTGTCAGTAAAATGGGCACATGCACTGAATGAGCTCCCATCTCCTTTCCTGGTTGACCATTCAGATGGAGAGGTCACTTCTTCTAGTTCTGTTTACAGGGCACCTGGCTGCTCCGGGGCTGCCACCCCAAAAGCTTCTCAATAGAGGACTAAAGCCTGCTGCAGGGAGTCCAGGGTAGCTGACAAGTCTGGGTCCTGGAGAGGGGCCAGTCCTTAGCCCCAAGATCTTGCAGAGAGCTAGTTCCAACTTGGTCATCTGCTCTTAGTTCCTGAGGTTAGGATATTTTTTTTAATTTTTAAATTTTATTTATTCTAATTTGTTATATATGACAGCATAATTCAATTCAATTCATATTACACAAATGAAGTTAGGATCTTGATGTAGGCAGGACTGAGCTCCAGCAAGGATGGGTGCTGCAACTTCTGCTCAAACACCTACTTGGTAAATGGCAGCCGCTATCCTGGCCTTTCCCACCCTGTTTTGGATCTAGTGACTCACTGGGAAGGTGGTGGTGGCCCCACAGTGCCACCTGTCTGCACAAAGCCTGGGATGGGAGAATACACCCTCTGGGGCTCTCTTGAGTCCCTCTCTGAGGCTTTCACCTGTGGCTTCCTCTCAAGTCAGGTGACCCGCATCCTTCTTCATCTCAGGTCTGGTCCTTGGACTTCTGCTCCTGAGCACTGCAGCAGCCATGCGTGGCTGCTCGGGTCCTTACCAGCAGCTCCTCAGCCAGCTCCAGAGGCAAGCGAACCTCACAGAGGACACCAGCTCACTTCTGGAACCCTATGTGAGCACCTCACCCCTTGTGGCTTCTGAGCCTCAGAGAATTGTGGGGTTTAGTCAGGGAGTGAGCATAACCCCGACTCAATACGGGGGTGGGTGGGGAAACTGAGTCCTAGTGTTATTCCAGCCCTAACCCTGAGAAGCTGAATTGCCCTAGCTCCCAACTCCTTGTTCCACTGCCTGTTCAGAGTGTTCACTGCACACCTGGCAGGTGCCTGGTTCCAGGCACCTAGATGTAGCAGTGAGCAAAACAGATCCTGCCCTTCTGAAGCCCCCCTTTCCCACTGACATGCCCTCATCCAATCACCCCCACCAACCCCAAACAGCCCTCTGACCCTGTCCTGGGTGATCTCAGAATCTATTGTCCTCCACGGGCCTCAGTTTTTGCATCTGTCCAATGGGAAAATCAGATAGAGGAGAATCAGTTTTAGCATTTAAAAGCCAGTCAGGGTGGACTCTTCTATGTGTGTGGTTGGGCTGGGGAGGGGGACTCCAGCATGCACTCTCTGACTCTCCTGTTCCCCCCAGATCCAACACCAAAACCTGGACACACCTATCCTGAGAGGATCCTGCACAGAGCATCCTGGGGCCTTTCCCAGCAACGATGCACTTCGGGGACTGAGCAAGCGAAGCTTCCTGTGGACTGTCAATGCCACCCTGGGCCGAGTCCTGAAAGGACTAGTTACTTTACAAAAGCAACTCTTAAAACCCCAGGACTTAGAAGAACTGGAGACGGCCAAGAGGAACATACAAGGCATCAGGAACAACATCCACTGTATGTCCTGGTTGCTTAATGGCTCCTCTGATACTGTTGAGCCCGTGCCGACAGGCCCAGGGCCTTGGCTGCAGCTCACTTCTGCCCTGGATGTCTTTCAAGCCAAGCTGGAGGGCTGCAGGTTCCTGCGTGGCTACCATCGCTTCATGGGCTCAGTGGGGTGGGTATTCAGGGAGTGGGGGGAGAGCCCGAGCAGGAGCCGGAGACACAGCCCACGCCGGGCTCTGCACAAGGGGGTCCTCAAGACTAAGATCTTCAGGAGGGGCAAGAGGCCTGTGCCCCGGGGGCATCTGCCCTGGTAGCGTAAGGGGCGCACCTTGCGGATGAAGAACACAGGGGTTCCCTTTGGAAATGAGGTGTCATGGCATGACACCAAACTTGCTCTGCTCCATCCCCCACGACACAGAAGTGCACTTTAAGGAGAGGAGCTGGCTGGGCTCCTCCTGCCTCCTCTGGGTTGAGGAGATAGAGTCAGGCTGTTGCACCCCCAGCCCCAAGTTTCCCAGTCCTGGTGGGGTGGCCAGGTCAGGCCACGTGGGACCGACTTTCCATTGATTCAGGGGTCTGATGACACAAGCTGACTCATGGCTGGGCTGACTACCCCCCTCCCCCCAGATCCCCAGAGGCCAGCCAGCCCTTCCCTCTCATGACTTGCAGGGCTGTTGACCCCAGACTTCCTCCTTTTCATGGTGGCAGGATTCTGAGAGGGAGGTCAGGGCTTGAACTGACCTCTGATGCCTCATCAATGCTCAGGCCAGACACCTGGACATCTGGGTGACCTCACTTTAGGCAGCTGTTACTGGGGTGGGGTGTCCTGGAGGTCTAGGGAAAGGGTGCTCAGGTCCCAGCCCAGCCACTAACTCACTGTGTGACCTTGGGTGGGTCATTTTACCTCTTAGGACCTTAGTTTTTTCTTTGGGGAGCCAGGGGACTATATAAAACCCCCTCTGCCTGTCAGTTGCTGGGATTTCGTGACACAGGGTGGACATCAAATTCTTTGTAAATTGGGACATGTGGTGCAAATGGCCATGGGGTGAGGGCATGCTGAGTTCTCTCCCAGTGCCTGGAAGCACCCAGTCTTGGGTCCTGGCTGCTGGCTGCTCCCCCTGGTGGTGGGTCACGGAATTTTCTCATATTGAAACCATTACCCTCCTGGAGGGGGTCCCAGAAACTGCTGGGCAGATTCCTTGGAGCAACATGTCTAATTTATTGATTTTTATCAGTTTTTAATCAGTTTCATATTTATAAAGTGTATTTATGATGTGTATTTAATGTTAATATTGTGCTAACATATATTTAAAACTTGCTGGTTTCTAAAGCTCCTGTCTCTGTGTCTCTCCATGCCCCGAGAAGGTCTATGCTTGTCCAAGAAGGGAAGTCACATGCCCCAGCCACCCAGGGGCTCTGACCAGGGAAAAACTTCATGTTTTTTCTTCTTGTTATTTTTAATAGCTAAATGAGTCTCCTTTGAGATTCCGGGGATGAGGGGTGCCAGGGAGGGGAGCAAGAGAGGGGGGAGGGAGTTTGGAGTGTGTAAACTGCTGTAAGCTACTGTGGGTGTGGGACTGGGGTATGGGTGGTAATGTGTGTTGTGTGCATATTTTTCTTGCCTCAAATTTTTTTTTTGTACTGGGGTTTGCATCCAGGGGTGCTTAACCACCGAGCCACATCCCCAGCCTGTTTTTTATATTGTATCATGAGACAGGATCTCATTAAGTTGCTTAGAACCTCACTAAGTTGCTGATGCTGGCTTTGAACTCGTGATTCTCCTGCCTTAGCCTCCTGAGCCACAATTATAAGCATTTGCCAACGTGTCTCATCTTAAAGCCTGGATGTTGATGTCCAGGATACGTGTGTGTATATATGGATCCGTGGGTGTATCTCTGTATGCGTCCAAGCATGTGCAAGCATAGATGTGTACCCATGTGTCCTTACATATGCGTATACTCATGGATCCCCCTGAAGGGACATAGATACATCTGGTCCCTGGAACACAGTAGGTGCCCTAAGCATTTGTGAAGTTAATCAGTGTGTAAGTTCACTGCCCTGCTACTACCACCCTGCCCAGCAAATGCTGCAGATACTCAAAAAGGAATGGCAGCGTGGACAGAGCAATAAACTGGGAGGGGGTGAGGGGGTGGAACCATAGCATGAGTCAGACAGACCTGACTGAGTTCAAAGTCTCTTCTTAGCCTCCTCCTGTCTGTCTGGGTGACCCTGGACAAATTAATGGGTCTCAGAATCCCTATTTCCTCATCTGTGAAATGGGCGAGATCATAACAGATCTTGTTTCAGACAATTTGTGACTTGGAGTGTGTTTAAAATTGCTTCCCGAAGGGCCCCAAGGAACTAGATTTCTATCTGATCCCTGGGAAATGACTCCCTCCTGATGCTCAGGGTCCCTTTTCTGGAGAGGTACCTATAGGCCAAGAACATGCCGAGGCAGTAGCTACAAGAGAAGGGTCAACAGAAAAAGATGAACTTGCATGCCTTAGGCATGTAATAATGTTTTTGTGTTCTTGTGTGTGTGTGTTTTATAAAACTGGGGGTTCAAACCCCAGCATTGCTAAAAAAAAAAAAAAGATGAACTTGACCTGCATCAGTCCCAACCACCCACACTTCCTAGAATAGGGGGCCAAGAGGGGAACAGAACTTGCCATCAGTGGTGGGAGAGAACCTGGCTGGGACTTTGCAATCTATATGATCTACTTTGCAATCGAGAAGACTGACACCCAGAGAGTCAGAGAGTATGAGTGGCCTGCTCCTGTTCTCAGTGCAAATTAACTGGGAGTAGACACAGTTTGAATTCAGGCCCTCTGGACTCCAGGGCGGGAGTATATTCCTGGTATCCCTTCACTCGCCGCCTCTGCAACTTGGCTTTCAATTGCATGAATCCCTGAAGACACTGAGTTCCGGGGCAAGGGGCAGACAGAGAAGAGACAAACAAAAGAACCAACAGGAGCATCGGATATTTGCATATGAGCTCAGCAAAAATAGAGTGAGGTGATGTAATATAGAGAACGAGAATCGGGCGATGTGGGTGGTCAGAGCGGTGTCTGGAGAGATGA